GACACCACCTTATCAGAATCACAGATGAAGCCATTCGTTTGTTTCATGACGTTTGTGTTGGAGTTGTCTCGGAAGTTTGTCTGGTGCAATGTTTTTTTTTAATATGTATCTAATATGCCTAATGGATTTTAAAATAGTAATATCAACACTAAGAAACTATACTTCGATGAGTAATTCATTTAAGAACTCATTATTTCTTGTAAAATTAAAACGATAATAATCGTATAAGTTTTGAGGGAGGTATGTTTATGAAAAATCATTATTACAGAGCCCTGAAGAAGAATGTAATTAAATTTGAAACGTCGTTTTAAAAATTGATCCTGTTACCCAACCAACCTTTCTTCAAAAAAATTATTGGAACACTAAACTAGTTAACAAAATGGACAAATTCATAACCGAAAATTGATAAGATATTTGAAAGCTTAGTAACTAGAAATTATTATGAAGCATAGCAGGTAGATAATCTACAAAACATTATTTGCAATATTGAAAACAACATACCTGTATTTCAATTTCATTTCCATCTAATCATTAGGCACATATTCATACAGGTTCTTTTCAGACCTTCCATGGTATGATCACTCTAACTTTTTTGGTGCGTGTGTGAATCGTGAATATATGTTTCACCCATATAAATGATAGGTAGACATTCTTTTCTATAGGTCAGAAATTTTTTTCCATCAATATTTTTCTGTTATTTTTCACCTTTCGCCATCGAAATCAAAGTTTATTAATTCCTTTTTGCAAACACCCTGCTACCCTGATGGGTAGCAGGGACTTCAGCGTAGTATCACTGCGTGTTGCAAAAGAAGTGATTTTGATATTAATTATTATCGCACTCTGACACAGTTTTATAAAAAATTCACTGTCGAAGAGATGAGCAACACGGTGTTATCAATACCATCAACAAAAATTGGTTATCAAAGGTAGGTATAGGCAAATCTTCACCGACAAATAGAAGAAAGAATTAGAAAGATATATACTTATGGCTTTAAGTATTTATTTCGGTTTATCTTCCAAGGATATTCGAAAAACAGCGTTACGTTTACCAGGTTACATTTACCATAATTTTAATTTCGATTATTCACTGAATTTTAGACTGAGTGAATGTAATTTCGCTAGAATGGGTATTTTTAGTTTATAAGCATGGATATATTTTATATTTTTGGAACACCTAATGCATCATAATGTACAAGATAGAAATCGTAATACACAGAAATTTACTCCATCATAACGTCAAACGATAGAAATCGCAATTGATCATATAGTACAAAATAGAAAAGTACAGCGGCATAATGTACAGTTTCATAACGTAATCCTTCATAATATACTTCATCATAACGTACTTCTTCATAACGTACTCCGTCATAACGCTAACGTATCATAATATCATACGATCATAAACACAATGCATCATAACAGCAACACATCATAACATCAAACGATCATATTCGTAATCAATAGAAACCGTAACGCGTCATAACGAACTTCATCATAACGTAAAACATGATAACGTAATGTATCATAACGTACTTTGTCATAATCCTATAGTCCGTGCGCTTGCTTATACTACGTGGGAATAATGGCGGAAGTTGAAGTTTTGAACTCATTGAAGATCTAAGAAGAGCCCTATGATACTGAAGAAGTTTAAATATGATGAAGTACTTGAATTTATTATTTCATTGTTTCTAATTTTTCATAATTCTACATTATACTGTTGAGTGAAATTTTGAGACAGTTGGCTGCCTTGAAGACCCTTTTACACCATAAAACCATTCGCCATCGGCAATTGCTATTGGTTGATTCGATCTGTGCTTTCTTTAAACTTTAAAATTGTTTGAAGGTGATTATCATGAAAATATTCTAGATCGATTTATTTGCCTCTATTTTGTCTCTGAAGTTTTCAAATTGTTAACATGGCTGTAGAATGACATGAACGTGAGTAATGGTAGTACCAAATTATTTTGTGTAAACAAAATTAATGAAATACCAAGTTACAAAACTATCAATATAACTTTGGATTCTGTAAAAAGTGGGACTTTGTTGGTGTCAAGGTTCCAAAATCAAGAACCACGATATGTGCATAAGGTTCGTAATTTCATCACATTGATACTCTAGTTTAAATCAATCTACCCAATTATAATCAAAACCAAACCAAACCAGTCACTGAAAAAAAACGTACCTATGTAGGTGAGTGAGTACAATCCTGAAATCTGTAGAGTATGCGTTTAATTTAGTGATTTGCGTTCGATTTGGACTCAACTGATGTTAAATTTAATGCACCAGAGCCATCGCTAACAAATTTGAGGAGAGCAATTCAACGTAGAAGGCTTTCACATCCACTACCTGTACCTGCGTAAAGCAATGTTCAACGAGGAGCTTATCAGCCTTAAACAATTTCATTATTTGACTGCATTTTATTGTTTTTTTTTTCAAGATGTTATGTGTTCACTGTAAAATGTCTTATTTCTGTTATTTTAATATTCCTTGTAGTTAGTTACAGTCCTTAATTATAAGCATTTATTGTTTCTTGGGAGAAACTTAATTGAATTGAAATGAAGCTGAGCAAGGATGGAAAAATTTCGAATTGCTCCAGTTACCCACGTAACAGGATACGTACTACAAGAAACTGAATGTTTTATATACACATGGTTTCCATACAGAGAAAAAACCCCTCTAATTTGGCGACTTTTTGACATTGTTTATTTTGTATCACGTAATATTATCATAAATATTTGTTGAACCACAACAATAAATGTAACTTGACAAATGGCAAATATCGCAATTAGTTTCTGCTTTTTTATTGAATACTACATTAGTTATTTTTATCCTCTTTTCGTTTTTATTTAATTTTTTCTGGAAAACAAAGTAAGCTACGGAAAAGAATCAAAAAATACCAAAGATTTATTTTTACATGTTTTAGCTAACATAAAATTAAATGTTATAAGAAACGTAATGAATAGTTTTTTTTGGCCAAATATTATTGGCTGAACTGTATTTGTATCCAATTACTTATGGCTAATCTCTCGTCAATGAAAATATCATTGTTTTAATTGGTTTCCGGGTTTTGCCGTGCTCTTCTTTGGTTACAATATCCAACCGTTTCAACTGCAACTGTGGCAGTCATCTTCAGTGGCGTGGTCGAAGTATCAAATGAAACAGTTGATACGTCAAGAAGAATACTTCGAGCATGCTACTGAAGATGACTGCTGCAGTTGCAGTTGAAACGTCAGGAGATTGTAACCGAAGAAGACTACGGCAAAACCCGGAAACCAACCAAAACATTGACGCCAGCCGTGAAAGCCTACATTCCCATAACAATATCATTGCCAAATTACACTTAAATTGGGTAATGAATATTTACATTGAATGTTGATAAAAATAAATGATTTTGTATCTTGGAAATAATGCATTTTTATGTTTGTATGAACTTTTTTCATGAAATAACTTTCAAAACAAGCAGTGTTATCAAACACCAGGCAACAAACACTCTTCTCGTCGCCAGATGTTCCAGTCCTACTTTTGAGTATTTGTCATTTTGACTATTTCTCATTTTGCAACATTTGACATTTTGAATGAGGTATTGGAGTCAATTAAGAGTTCAGTTTTCACATTTTTGCAGNACTATATAGTCGGATGTTAAATTGAGGGATATACTTACTTTCTCTCACCTGGTGACCTTGCCGAGTAATTTTGACGAATAAAAGGTTAGTAATGATATATTCATTATTTTCAGTTAAGTGAAATTAACTAAATATATAGTTTAATGGTTATATTGATTAATAATATTTCCCATAAAAAGTCAGAGTAAATGGTAAACAATTGTGGATTATTTATGGAATAATCACATTCCATCATACTTACTGAATACTTTGAGGAGTTCAGTTTCACATAAGTAAATATAAATAAAAGTTTGAAACTATTTTTTGAACGGTGATTCATTTTGAATGTTGATTCATAACCTATTTTTAATTTTACTTCATTTTCTGGTTTGACTCTTTAAAAATTGAATTGCGAAATATGTTTACCACTATTTGATAAAAAATTCAAGTATATCAATCCAGCACAAATCACAAACGTAAAATTCGGAAGTACTTTCTTCCAATGAGATGTTTTTCGATTCATTTTCATAGATGTTCATCAAATCGAGAAATGATTTAGGATGTATGTAGGATTATTGAAATTAAAGGCTGAGATGCATGTCGAGAATTTAATGAATGTTATTTCCAGTCTAATTTCAATTTTCAGGTGAGTTATTGATATATTCAGGAAGAAAATTGTGAGATGTATTCAAATATATGAAAAAAATCAGAAAAAGTAGTATTCTTCAAAAAACATCTGACCGTGATCCATTTCAACAGATTTCAAAACAAAATCTAAGATTCGAGATGACAAAATATTAAAACTGGTTATAAATCTGGTGTAGTATACATGAAACAAATAAATATACAAAATTATTTCATCGAAAGTGACAGTTACGAGCTGAAATTCAAGAGGAGTAGTATGTGTAAAATATTTCATGGCAATACTTTTTTTTGTTTTTCTCTGACTAAATTTAATTGAATCTCTTTCATCTTCTATTTATCTCTAGACAGATTTGTTCGAAGATATATACTTTTGACAGAAATTGTAGGAAAGCTAGCGATGCCCATAAACAGTAATAACCGTAAAATAAACAAAAATCAATCTGATATTTACAAAATGAGTAATTTATGTAAATAACTTTCTGTTCCAAAGGAACACCAATATGAAAACAACTAAACGTTTACATATTTTTGGAAATAATTACAGGAAATGACGACTTATCCTTTTAGATAAATCACCAGATAACTACGTTATCGATTGTGACAACAAAGAGTCTATTTCGATAACAACCTGAACAAAAAATATTTCATAGGAACCTTTTACTAATGAATATACCACCAAAGCAAATTGCCCTATTTTTTATTGTTTTGAGATTTTTACTTTCAAATTGAAATATATAATTTTGTAATGTTTTTTCAGNCGTCGCTCGAAGAGAGTATTCGCACTTTTCCCTCTGCCACTATCATTACAACATGTGGCAAGCTTAGGAAAGGTTGACCCACCATAACAGACACCTCTTGAGCTGCATTTGGTACTACAAAAGCTTTTACGTTAGCCTCTGCATTGTCTAATTCTATGGTGAACTCTGTCTCCCCTAAAACAGAAACTTTTGATGCACCGTACCCTGTTATCGTTACAGAGCTGGCATTAATCTTTAGTTTTAGTTCGCGCGCTTGTTCCTCTCTAATCAGCATAGCACCACAACCAGTGTCGACGTAAGCCTTGGACGGCATCCCGTTTATTCTGCAGTCGAAGAAGTATTCGTCGTTGTGACATTGTTTCTTGAACTCCGCGATCTGTATTTTGAAATGTCGCCTGCAATCCTTCTCTAAGTGACCCAATCGCTTGCATTTGGAACACTCCAGTTTAGGTTTAGGACAATTGTTCGAGAAGTGCCCAGGTTGTTTGCAATTGTAACACCGCTGTTCTTTCGTGTTACTCCTGAACTTCTTAAACGGGCTTCTAGCTTTTCGTCGGTCATCTGAGTGGAGTCGCTTCCTAGACGGTACGGGATTTGAGGTAGGGTGAGGAGAGTATGAAGAATCAGCCTCTTGGTTAAGAGACGAAAGAAATTCTGCATAGAGAGCATCAGGTGTTTCATAGCGTCCAGCTCTCGCTCCAACTTGGATTGTTGGATTGTCAATTCCATCAATAAGACACGAAACTGCATGTTTTGGTTTGATTTCGCAAGCGTTAATCATATCCATCTTATCGAAATAGTACTCTTCCCATCCTTCCGAAGGCAACTTCCGTCGGTTGAGGAGTTTCCTAAGAGACGTCGCGTAATCTTGGTGCTCTGGAAACGATTTCAGAAGTAGAGTTTTCCATTCATTCCAGCTCAACTCGTACGAGTTCAAGTTGTCGTACCATTTTCGAGCTAATCCACTTAGGCGGCTCTGCATGTTGAATATTTTCGTGTGCTCGTTCCAACAATTCACTCTTCCCAATTGTTCTATCTTCTCGATCCACTTGGTACAACTCAGGTTAGAATTTCCTGGTTTGACTTCTGGGATACACTCTGGTTTGACGAAAGCCTTACTGGTGCTCGGTCTTGACGAAACTTCATATTCGATGAGCCTTTCTACCAGTGATTCTAACCGTTGCACATTATCGCGAGGGAGTGGTGGCTAATAGTGGAGCGAACAGTCGAATCTACAACGTGTACTGCAGATCGTACACGCGAGTCACTGCGTTGTAGACGACGGTTTCCATTATGTTTGCGGCCATCGTCATCGCTAGAACTTTCGCTTGAACTCCGAGAACCAGATCTTGATCGACCCATTTCTTCAAACCCAGTAACGTCAATACTAGATATCAACGCAGAGAAAGACTATGACTAATTTATACCTTAATTAGTCTGCAATGATTAATATACCCGATATGTGAGCAATTAATTTAATCCAAAAAGTCAACACTCAGTCTATACGTTGACTGAAAACCCTTCGTTGAACCACTAATCAATATATTGTAAATCTAATATGTGAACTGATGATTAAACTCGGAAAAATAACACTCAATCTATACATTGACTGAAAACTTTCCCACTAATAACGAGTAAATAATATAGTTAATAACAACGATACCTAACGCTATGATTATCGCTACCACGAAGAACTGNCTTGCGGCATAACTTAAGGAAAGATAGTCTCTGCGAACATCAAGGGGTAGTTCTCCGGCCTCAGCCAGTAGGCTCTCCACTGGGCTGGTACAAAAAGCTCCCAGGGCAATACTCATGGCCGAATATTGGATCACATTCAGGGACTTCGGGAGAGTTGCTTTCGCTGAACCATAAACGATAGAACCATAATCTAGCTTGGATCGAATGTCCTTTCTGAAAGTCGAGATTTCGTCCATTCTTAAACAGAACTTCTTCTTCCTTATTATGTCATCTACAAAACCTCTCGAGAAACCGTTAGTAGTTGCTATTCCCTGTATTGCACGTCTTTCTTTTGTGAACTTATCATGTGTTAGAGGGAAAGTCAAAAGACGATGCACTAAAAAATCCAACCCAGCACGTTTGTGCTGTCCACAGTGATATCAGGAATATACCTGTACGTGCTTGTTTCTTTTCTAAATATATCGTATTCTAACCATCCATATTGGCTTCTCATTACCAAAACGTCAAGAAATGGTAGTTGTCCCTTGTTTTCTAACTCATACGTGAATTCTATAGATGGACATCCATTATTTAAAATGGAGACAAAGTCCTCAATATTCGATATATTGGTATCGAATATCGCGAAAATATCATCCACATACCTTAGCCAAATCCTAGGAAAATACTTCGACTTTTCTTTGGTTTCCATTTCGAATCTGCTCATGAACAGGTCTGCCAGGTAGGGGGACAAGAGGTTTCCCATGGCCGTTCCTTCCTGTTGTTCATAGAAGCAACCTTCTACCTGGAACCGATTTTGTTTCATACACAAATTATTAAGAGAAACGAACTAATCGATTTCGTTATTATTGAAATCATTTTCCTCTAGTAATTCCCTGAGGTATTGCAAGGTCTGTGGAATTGGGGCCCTAGAAAATGAGGAACTAACATCAGAAGAAACCAAAATCTCATCTTCTTGCAGAATCACGTTTTTTGTATGTTGTATGAACTCTAAAGAGTTTTTTATACTGAAACTTGGTTCCGCAATAGATAAGGTTTCAAATTCCTTAGTGAGCCACTTTGCTATTTGGTAGGTAGGAGCTCCAATAGCTGACACGATGGGGCGCATTGATTTTCCCGGTTTGTGGATTCCTCTTTGAAGATGATCACTTGGTGATATAAACACGTGTCGAGGTATTAAAAATAACGATTTGATGTTGGAAAAAAACTCAGTAATATTCATTACTACATCAAAGGTTCCAAACAGTGTATCATGAAAGATTTAGTGCAAATAGAACAATATCTGCAGAAGACGCATGTGTTATTGCTGGAATTCCACCAATAGAGCTCCAAATCATCGAAGAGAAAGAGCGGTACGCAGGCATTTCCAAAAGAATTGTCAAGGAAAATTAGATAAATAGCTGGCAACAGAAATGGGACAATGGTCAATACAATAGATGGACACCGACTCATACCTGAAGAAGGAAATGAACATTTCCGAAAGCTTGACGTAACACCCAAAAGTTTTTTATTACTTCCTGGCATCTTCAAAATCGACTGCAACCTCATTAACAGAAATCACACAGTGGTTTCGAAGTTCTTGCTTGAAGATGATATATGTATAGATAGAATTCACATTTTCGATATCTTCACGTTTATTCATGTTTTTTTCTTTTTTATTGGAAATATGTGAACCGTTTATAAGAATTGTGGTTTATTCAAATTCTTTTCCATATCTGTAACACAATCGAATAAAAAATTCATTAGATGATCCCCTTATATTGATTTCGATATATTTTTGATATAATTTTGAATATTATTATTGTTATTTCAGTTGATGTCAGATATCATTTTCCTATCATTCATAAATGTATTGGGGATATATTACAGGAACATGAACGAAATTGTGGTCAGGCACAGTTTTTTGGATAGGCGAGATTACATAATGTCTACTCATCAACTCAAGCATGAAAAACAACAAGTGGTAAGTTCATTTCATTGTTGGCTTTCGAAATCATGTTTTTGAATCATTGTGTGTAGTTACCTGAATATCCATTTGCGCTTCATGAAGCTCAACTCAGACCTTCTTTGGAGTATTGTTCTCATGTATGGAACTTTGCCCCTAACCATACCTAAAAGCTACTGAATTCCATTCAGAAACGAGCCATCCGCCTGATTCGAGACGCGAACATCCCTTGCAACCTTGATAGCCTGGAACATCGAAAAAAGGTTGGGGATTTGTCTCTCTTCTACAGATTTGATTTCACCAAGAGAAATATGCGATGGACTGTAGTCGCTCATCGTTTTGAGATTCAACTCAGTACACCTCAAACCTTTCTTTCACAAAAACCAATTTTTCCTAATAATATACATACCACGTCAATCCGAACAGCTGAATAAAAGACTAATGTACCGGGTCTGATGAATTCACTAGTTGATATCATATGAAACCTCTCATATAAAAAAAATGATTAGACCTTGTATCAATATCACGCCGGCCATGCCATACAAAGAAACTGCCGATGTTCGGTAACTATTTATTTTTATGGCATTCGAATTGACTTCATATGAACTATAACTTATACTTGAGATTCCACGAATCCCTAGAACAAAATCTAAGGGAGACTTCGTGAGGGACCCTGCTCTGATAAAGGTTCATTTATAAGATACTTCCATTATACAGGGTGTTCCTTAAACACATGCTAATATTCAAGAAGGTAATTCTTAGACCCATTTTGAGGAAAAAACGTCCTATGGATGTATGTCCTAAACGCCTTAACTTTTGAGATACAGGGTGGCAAAGTTTTCAAAAATAATCAGTTTTTTAATAATAACTGAGATAATTTTGTAGACATCTTTGGCATATTTGGTACATATGTTCCATGCCTCAAGGCGCATTTTCTGATGTACAATTTTCTTAATTTTCTCTGCCAGTGGCGTACGTACGAGTTTTGAAATGTATATTTTTGGCGAAAAAAATACTACGCCACTGCTTTATCTTGAATTAAAAATTATTTTTAAAATCTCCATACATTTTTGAGCACATTTGATTTGCTGGGTTTTCTTTGTCCGACGCATGGTTTTCGCTCAAAAAATTAAAAATCGCTTTACTTAAGGATAAATTCCTTAAAAATCTGATGCGGTATCGTGCATCGACTGAAAGCAAACTAAGAGATCAGATTTGTTGCAAAATAATTGAGGATCTAAAAGGTATTTGTTTGTTGTCAGATGCACTGTTCTCAATTAAAATTACGTCATAACGCAGCACCGCTTAATAATTTTTGAAAACATAAATTTAGTTATCCTGGAATAAATGACGTGTAGCAGAATTTATTTACTGCACCTCTTGGAAATATGGAGTTTGTCGATATGTGATTTCTTTTAAAGATTAAAAGCAGAAAAAACAGCGTACCCACCATAGCAATAAAAAACGAATTCTCTGTATGTACAAACGTCAGTAGCTAATATTGATGTTGGTTTAAAGTAAGGTGTTGGTGTTAAAAACTGTCACAGCGCGTTTTGATTGATTTTGAAGTGTTATTGAAGTTATTTTGGTAGTCCGCTGTTTTTCTGAATATCAGTAAATATGGTAAATTATACGAATGCGGAAATGGCGCAAATGCATTACGTATATGGCCTTGCCGATGGTAATGCAACAGAAGCCAGGCGCATTTATCAGGAAAGATATCCTAATCGTGCCTTACCAGATAGCCGAACCTTTTCAAATATTCATCGTCGACTTGGGGAAACTGGTAGTTTCAAGAAAGGGACTCCGGAAGGTAGACCTCGTGTAGTAAGAACTCCTGAAATTGAGGAAGCGGTGCTGCAAGAAATTGAGGAACATTCTGAGACGAGTACGAGGAAGATCGCTTGAACTCTGGATATTTGTCATTAAATTGTTTGGGGTATTTTGGTTGATTTTTTGTTATACCCATACCATATTTCAAGAGTGCAGGCATTACTCCCCAGAGATTTTCCACAGCGTGTGAACTTCAGTCAGTGGTATCTACAAAGTATTGCACTGAATCCGCAGTTTGAGAAGTGAAATTCCCATGATAAATTCAGATGAGACTTTCTATGTACCTTTTGCACAGTATTTCAAAAATTTGCCGGTGAACGAAAATTTTAAAAGAAAATCTCCGAATCCCTTGATCAAGTTCTTGAAATGGGTGTTTGATCAAAATCAATTGACAAATCCTATACAATTTTCTTGTTAGACCTCGTATACGTTGTGGTATTTTAGCATGGGGCGGACTAACGAACAACTTCCTCAAAAAAAAAGCAATAGATCTACGGCAACTATACTTCCGAAGTATAATGGTGAATTATCATTAAAAAAATAATTTTGAGTGAATAGATCATGTAGACAAAATGAGAAATGAAGCGGTAATATCTGTTATACTAAATGTGGAAAACACATTATCACAGAGACACTTCTCGTACCTAGGACCCATAATATACCTTAAAATACCAACGGATCTAACTCATATCTATTCATTCGGTTTAGTAAAAAAATTCTAAAAAAATGCCTCC